GGAAAAGAGGCAGTGTAGAGTTCTAAAAGAAGAATACATGACAACATTACAAAAAAAAATTCTGACTCTCTTCCAGCATGGCGTTCATTATCTCCTGCGCTTCCACAGTGCTGTAGTCCGTGGAGAGCACCTCGGAAATGTAGGGATCTAGCACACTAGTGGCTCTAGTTTCATAATACTCCTCTACCTGAACCCTGTGATGCACACCCGAATCAATAGTTTCCAAAAGGTGAGATATAGAAGGAAAGGCTCCTGCAATGACGGAAGCTCGTCTTTCGGAAACAGATGATATCTCCAAGAGCATATCGAGGTAAAGGGCGTGAAAATCCGTTGGATCACACTTCCGTCTTCCGTCTACCCGAACCAGTGGGTCCGCTTCTGATTGTTGTTTGCTTGCCTTAAGGCCGTGAGCCACAACAATGTCAGCTGCTTGCTCAAAGGAAGGAGCACAATCAAATCCGACTAAAATGGTTAAAAAAGAATCATCCGCACACAGGCGAGAGACTTCTTCCCAAAAGCGGGACTGCCTGGGACATGTTAATTGTCCAAGCATAATCACATACACCGGACACTTTGACGCATCGTATATAGCTTGCAAATAATTCCGGACACAATTGTGGCGTAGCATGAGCATAAAATCATTAAACGTAATGAACAAAAGCAGTAGAGAGATTATATCGTCGTTAATTACAAGAACAGAATTAGAAATCATATTCTGACTTTCCCTGACTTGAAGGCACCGAGAGCCCAAGCGTATTATACTGAGAGTACGCGTAATCGCCTCATATAAACCTTCACACGCGACATCAACAACTAATTCAAAGCCCATATCCCACACTCTATACTCCTTTAAAAAAAGTGTCCAAGGGATATACACCGGAGTGTCTCCATAAAAACTAAAAACAAAAATAAAAGAAAGATATACGGCATCGTTTCAGAGTGCAGCAATGGGTTGCATAGCTACTGTCAAAAAATAACATATATATGTCCTTGTACTACGGAAGGAATCCGTGTAAAAGCATGTATGCAGCATCAACATAAATGAGAAGTACACTCCCCCAACACAGACACAAGTCCACCACAACAAAAAAGAAATACAAGTAACCACAATGTATATACATACATATCAAGACAAAAAAAAAACAACAACAACACCAACAATGCAAGACGCAATAATACAATGATAGAATAACATAGCAAACAAAAGATAGATCATATTTACACCAAACAATTCAAACGACAAATTATTATACTCACAAACAGAAACAGCCACCGTTTCCCACCCAATAAAACAGAAATGTGCTGTTGTCCGATACCATCAAAGCACCAAACGTTTCCTTTGAGTTACTCAAGATGAAGCCTTTAGATACAAATGCGCCATCGAAGCACCAGCCTTCCCTCCCTCCTTCTCTTTCTCTTTCTCTCTCTCTCTCTCTTTGGAAAGCCTACCCGCTACTCCTTCCAAGTATATATTATATATATATATAATTTCTTTTATAGAAACTAAAACTCAAAGTAACAAACGTCATATATCTGCATTACACGATACCATCATATGTATGAAATGGATCATGACTTGAAAATATACACACAAAAAATCTTCCCCTTTACTGTACTTAATTGCTTATACAATGTTATTGCTAGCATCTAAGAGTCGTACTGCCTCCTTGGCATTGGCTTCCGTGAGACCAGTGAATGCATTTGTCGTCACAGAATGATTCGAGAAAAAGGCTCGATTAGGTGCCGTGGCCGGTAAATTGATGTCATCAATTGCAACAAAGTTCACAATATTGTACCGTTCCTTGTTAGCCTCAATCCACGACAATATTTCTACCGCCCGAGACTTACCATTCAAATATGGTGTACAGGAAATGTAGGTGGGTATATTGTGAGCAATAAGTTGCTTTGCCACTTCCTGCCGTCCAAATTCAGACATTCGCCACGAGGTGCTCAAAACTATTTTGGCTCCTGTCTCCAAAATAATGTTTCGCAAAAGGGACATTTGCTTCGGTGCAAACAGTTTCCCACCAAAGGGCGACACAACGCCATCGCAATCAAGAAATAAGATCTTGTTCCCATCAACCGGCACTCTCCTTGCAGCTGGGGGGCGTATCACCTCTTGCTTCCTGCCACTCATTTTTTATTCCCTTCTTATCTGCCTGTGTGCAAGTGTTAGCTTTCTGATGTTTTATTTATTATTATTTTATTTTATCCAGAAAGAGATGCAAAAAATCCTCCCATACACAAAGAGGGTCAACCAAAACAAAACAGGAAAAAAAAACACACATACAAAATATATATTATATATATACACACGGACGTGCAGTCAAATCTACTTTTGAAAGAAAGAACGGTTCTTGGTGAATAGCTTACCCCCACAATGACGTCGCGATAAAAAGAGATTATACGCAGACAAAACCACAAAACAATTCTATATTTTATAGCATAAAAGCACCAAAAAAAAATACCCTTTATTTTATTCTATTGCTTATTCGCTCGTGCACAAAAACAACAAAATGACTGATAATCTGCTCATACATATGTGCTCGAGCAAATGTTGAAGTGGACGAGAGACTGTCACAAGAAGTTACCATTTACTCACTACTCACGGACTCTTTTCCCTCTGAACTTGGTCATGGGGAGAAAACGCTCATCCGTGATTTTCCCACAAGCAAGTTTGTGTACATGCAATACCAAATCATGTGCAATTTGCTGCGTTAACCTGGAATCATGTTTATAGTCAGGATGTTGTACAACAAACTCTCTCAGGTATTGCGCAGCCGTAGGAATTTTTCCCGAGGCCCGCATTGAGATAAAACGAAGGTAACCCTCCAGTATGGGGCTTTGTAACTGTTCCTCTTCCATGTATCGTCGTACAAGAGGAATCAAACCATAATATCCTTCCTTTTTGCCGTTAAACACTTCATCAACGGTGAATTCACCGTTTTCAGAGGGATCAGTTGAGACACGTTTAGAAAAGATATCACGTCGCATAACATAGCGTTGCGAACAAGGGTTAAGGTTGTGTGCGCAACCCATGTTTTCATCGACAATGCTCAGCTTAGTGTAGAACAATGGATTATATTTAATAATAGCACGCGTCAGCAAAACCACAAACACGGAAAAGGCCGCATTTTCAAAGGGTGTCGGCATAACATCCATGACACGAAATTCCACCCGCCAGCCAGTTTCACCATCAAGAGTAGGAGGCTTGAGACGAACCGACTGCCAATTTGTACTCTGAATATTCTCAAAATGTTCCGTGTGCGTCGTATCATCAATATCAATCATCTGATCGAACACCACCAGGGGGTCACGAATGAAAAGATGCGCCACATGCCTCGCTAGACGCTCATCCACCCCCGCCTTTTTAAGAGTCTCAAAGTGAGCATCATTAATGACAAAGTCTTCATCGTTAAACTCCTCCAAGTTTGGCACAGATGAACTGACAAAAACAGAAAATGAGTCATACCGTGATTTAAGAATGCGTGGAACCTCCTCGTGTTTGCGGTCATCAACGGAGGCGGCAATTGTTAACCATCGAACGTCTGAATCGCATAAAATACCCTTTTGAAAGGGTGTTGATGAACTGATTGCAAGAAATAAAGGACATAAAATCCCTAACTGATCGTATACGTGACGCGCACATGATTCACCTTCAAATTGCATAGTGACTTGCAAGCAATTGCAACCCATACCAAACGCCATGCAGTCCATATAGATACATGGATGACATACTGAAGGTACTGGACATGGACAGACATCATAGCGTTGTTTTACAAGTTCCATGTGAGATTTATTAAAATACTGTGCATAATAATAGTGTGTGGCGGGAGTATAAAAATAGATCATTTCCCCTTCCTCTGGGTATTCAGAAGTATCATTATTATCATTGATTTGCCTTTCTTTCAACACAACCGCCTCACCAACACTAAATTTCTCCCCTTTGCTTCTCTTATTCATTGCTATACCGCAGTCAATATCCTTATTTTGGGGTGTATAATCAATATTCAATCGATGATCCACAGTTCGCTCCATCGTATGTGTATCAATATAAATAGGAATTTGAATACATACTTTTCGGCCGCGTCTCAAACGAATATTCTGCGTGAGATTCGCGAAACGTGGATGTGCGGTATTGATGCATACATCTGGCACAAAAAGTGAGCGGGAGTATGGAGATTCTTTACTCTCGGATGTGGTAAACTCACCAACGCCCATCAAAGGAAAGGTGACCAAGGTGATGGAAAAAGTATTGTCTCCAGCGACACTGTCCAACAACTCACATCGCCGCCGTATATTCGCCTCAACAGAAGATAAAGAATCCAATTCAAGAGTATACGGTGCACCTGGGACACTTTCCACCATGAAGCTTCCATACTCATAATGCCAACCCACGTTTTCTTTTCCAGCCGACTCAGTAAGCTTTTCAATTACGTCTGCGGCGTTCAATGAGAGTTTCACCTTCTCTCCTTCCACTCGCACAAGATGATGTTCCACCTCCTCTCCCCAGCGGAAAGGAAAAACTTTTTTTTGCGTTTTTGCTGTTTAGCATTGCCAAAAACTGCTGAATCCCATGGTAAGAGACATGCGGTAGGGCTCGATTATTTTCTTCCGTTCCCCATCGTATGGGTTTGCCTCCCGTTGTTAAGAGGCCCATCCTTTCTTATATTTAAAAAATTATTTTACTGAGTTGAGAAATTATACCAAAAATCAAACAAACCACCTATGATTTTTCGCAAACTCCCAGCAACTGTTATAGAAACAACAAAAAAAAGGTCATTTTGTTACACAATTTCTGCTCGTCCAAGGAGCAGCAGTAAATCCTCTTCAAGACGACCCCCCAGAGGCCACAAAAAACAACAATGATAATAACAACGACAGCAACTGCGACCACCCCAACTATGGATTTATTTCCAAGCACGCAGAAAGAAAACAAAACAAAACAAAAAAAAAGCACGCAGCTTCCTTCACATCTATAAACACAAACGAAAATTTGAGTTGCTAACCCCCAACAATACACATCAGTTCGTCATAGGCCGCCTTCAAAGTCTTGAACTTTTCCTCCGCCTCCTTCCGCTGCTGGTCAGGTGCTCCACACCACCTATCTGGATGCCACCGCATTGCCAAGGCACGGTAGCTCTTCTTCACCTTCTCCGCACTTGCCCCTGTAGGAATTGAGAGTTGAGCGTACAACTGCGCGATAAGACGAGGATCTTTTCCCCCAATGTGTTTTTTTTGTCTTTCGTTTCGTCCTGACCCCGCTGCTTGATTTCTTGAAAATCCACTTCTCTCCGAACCCCTGTCACCGTCTGTGTAATCACTCTCCTCGTTGTCTTGTTTTCTTGGTCGGAATTGACTTCTTTGTTTTCTTTGCTGTTGCCTTCGCTCATACTTCTCTTTTCCATCGCAAAGACGTTTCCAAACCTCCACAATTTCAATGGTACAATGCTCCTTCATGGCTAATTCAGCGTTTCGAATCGCAGCCAACCATCGAAAGAGTTTCTCTTCAGCGAGAGCCTTAAGAAGCAGAAGTTGGGCCCTCTCATTGCCTAATGTTGTATTTTGCAGGGCAGCCTCAATGTCATCCATACAATCATAATAACGCTTGACTTCAAAGAAGCCACGCGCACGCCTTGTCAAAATTCCAGCACGTAATCGATCACCAACAAATGGAATTTTTACGCATTTTGAACACAAGTGAATGAGAGGCATCCACTCACTTTTGGCATACAACAAGTCCATTTCCTTACAGAACTCAATGCAGTGTTGAGTGCGCTGAAGTACCTGGCGTAACCGACCCGTAGAATCTGTGAAGCCATTTGCAGTGCAGAAAGGAAGAACAGCTTCCAATTCGGCCTTGTTTGCACTCTCAAGGAAGCGTAGTTGCGCGCACCAATACAGCAAGTCTGGAAATTCAGTGTAGCACTGAAGAATGTTATTCGCATAGGCCAAAGCCACCTCATTGCCGTCCTCAATGGCGAGAAGCTGCACCTTCAGCACTTCAAACGACGCACATGGTACACGTTCCAACAATTCACTCAAATACCTTAGAGCTATCGCATGTTCGTTTCTCTCTAAGAACGTGATGTACTTCTTATACAAAGAGAGATCTGTCAATTCGATCGCAAAGGTGTAACCACATTTGTTTTTCTTGAATACTTCCATCGTTTGTTGCGCTTCGACAACTTTACCACAGCATATGAGAGATCGCACAGCCCGGCGAACACCAAGTATGTATTCATTATCCATTTCATAGGAGCGTACCGCATCGCGAAGAGAAAGTTTGTAATTCTCCATGCGCAAGTAGCACGCCGCACGGTTCCCTATGAGAGGGGCATTCAACATATTTGGTAAGCAAGAATCAATTACAGATGAGAATATCTTGGCAGCTTCGCTATAACTTCCACTTTGATACACCTCGCTTGCTTCTTGACATTTCCGCTGTTTCTCTTCATCAAGTGAATTAGAGAGCATAGCGGGGTCTAGCAAAAACAAATCTTGGACTTGACTTGATGCATAGGCAACGTCATTGTCAGCATGATGTGCACCACCTGCTGATGGTGCGGAAGGACCAGAAAGCGCAATCGTAATACTTTCCAGTTGCTTCGTCAGAAAAAAAAATTCCTCATCACTGAAAAAATTTGTTTTACATGCGGAACGAACGTCCACGCACGGGATAGAATGTGCTTGTTTTTGAAATGCAAGATCTTCTTGTTTCAGTGTGTGCCATTCCCTCACAGCGGTCTCCCAATCCTGGGAGATGGATGCATCGAGAAAGCGACGTAGACGATCATCTTGCGCCAGCAGCACTTTAGCTGAGTAATTGCGTATTCCCCCACCGTTCATTTAACACAATGCTTCACTACATAAAAACGCATCTACGCAAAGTCTGAGCGATGGCAGTTATCATTATCCTCATTGAAAAAAAAAAAGAACACGGAGGTGAGGAATCGAGGAAAACGACAATACTAAATACAGGAAAAAGTACAGAATACCTGAAAACAGAACAAGCATAAACAGCGTAATTGCCAATAATAACCAAAAAAAAAAAAAAAGACAGAACCAAAAAACAACTTGAGTAAGATATGAACAGAAGATTACATCATGACCTCAGTCTCCATGTGCGCATGGGGCCTCTTAATATATATATATATATACACGTTGCTTTTCTTGGTTTCGTCCTTGCCTCCTTCTTTTTTTTCGTTTCCATTTCCTCTTTTTCGGGAATAATAATAATAGCAAAATCATTTCTAAAAGAATGACGCTATCATACATTGCTCAGTATCGTAATGCAGACTGCAGAATGATACAACTATGCACGAACAAATAAAAACTTATGTGTGACCTTGTCAAAGTCGTGAGTGATCGCGTTGCAGCCACACAACTTCCACATGCCCTCCTCCTCCACTGCATCGAGTAAGGCGACAAAGAGCTGTGATTGACCAATATCTTCGCTGGCAAAATGAGTTTGAAGTTCACCGTACCAATGCGGAGGTTCTTCCTTTCGTACAAACGCAAACTCGGCCTTTCCCGTGTTTGTCGTTGTGCAAGCGCCTGGAAGCACAGTATTGAGCTTATCAATCGTGCTTTCCCTCACGGGACCAAGAATAAAAATGACAGGTGGATTGCACGTCACGTTGATGATCAAGTTCTTTTCCATTCTTATACTCTGGTTGATTTTTTGTTTGATTTGTTTGCTTTCCTTGTTGAAGTGTGTGATCGCACGCGTTCCTTGGCACCAGCAGCAGCTCCAGTAACCAGAAAACAAAAAAAAGTATTAACCTGCAACTTGTAATAATGGTGGGGGCACAGGAGGAGCACGATGGCATTACGCATCTCCAAAACAACAAATACTATATACATATATATATATATATATTGATTGTAGAGAGCAAGTAGCAATGGAGGATATGTATATTTACATTTCAAAGCAGTGACAATCCATCATCGGAAGGTGGCTTCTCTGAAGCTTCATGTTGTCGCCGTCTTTCAAGCTCCTCCATAGAAGCCCGTACCAACTCATCTTTGGTAGGTGGTATATATGTTCCTTGAAGGCGTGCAGCCAATTCTAGAAGACTACATTTTTGTGGGAGTAGCGTACGCAACTGCTGCGCCTCCCCAGGGTTCAGCACATTCTCACCACTGGTTGTAACAATCCGAACCAGTTTATCAATCGTCATTTCTCCTGTTCCTTCCTTGTCAACGAGTTTCAGCGCCCCCAAAACATCTCGCTGTTCTGCTGCTGCATCACGGTAGATCTCCTCTGCACATGAGATAAAAATGTTCCAATCAATGTTTTTGATCTCTTCTACTGGAATAATCTTGACATTCTGCTGAGACACCTGGCCTTCTGCAGCCCCAGCCAACAGTGCTCGCTCCACAGCAGACTTGCGTGGCTTTTTTTGTGGGTATGCTGTTGAAGAACGTCTTTTGTCCCGCATTTCCTCACGACGACGCTCCTTCTCTCGCTTAAGCTCCTCCTCACGACGCCATTGCTCAAGGCGCAGAATCGGATCCGCCATTCGTTCGCGGAGATAATCCATGTCGGCCTGGGTCGGATTCATTCCCATAGCACGTAAAAGAGTCATACAGTCTAGAAATGAAACCAACTTCTCTTTATTTTCCAGCATTGCAAAAGTTGTCTCAGCCTCGTTGTACACCTCACTGGTGAGAACAGAGGGCGGACGACGAGTGCGTTCATCCATCACTGCAGGCACCACCTCCCCTACGTCCTTTCACTATCAATAAATAGGCAATACAAGCAGCAAATAAGAAAGAAATACGCACGTGCCCACAGAAAATATATACCCTCACACACCAACAGAAGAAACGTCGTTGATTCACGAATCCCCCAGAAATAATATACAAAACCGTAAACGTATGCATAGCCCGTGGAACGTATGGCTTTGGGAAGCACTCCCGCCATAGTCACACAACACAAAAACAAGCAATAAAAAAAGCAAAAAAATATTTAACCAGTAATATATAAAGATATATAGATATGCATAGATATGTGTATGTGGCCACGCACATAACGAGCTAATAGATAACACAATTAACTCTACATACGATGCATATAAATACAATCGAGCGCACGCACACACACAGAGAAAAAGCAATATATATATATATATATATATATATATAATAAACTCCACTTGCAAAGAACGGTAAGTATGATCTATCTGGTTAGTCCGTTGTGTACAACTCAACTTCCTCCGCTTTAACTGTCATTCCCCACCCCACCCCCTCGCAAGTTTAATTTAGCAAGCGTCACTGTCGTCAGTTTGGTTCACATTCTCCAGTGCAACAAATTACGGCACATGGGCTACAGCTTGGGCCTCTCAAGCCAAAGCCTTCCAAACCTATCGAGACATCAAATAACACAAGAACGGAATTTCCAAGTAGAGTCCAGTGAGCAGAACGCCCAAAATGCATTCTACGTCCCAGTAAAAAAAAAAAAAAACGTAAAAGGACGAAGGATGGTAAGAAGATAAGCCACAAGGTGAAGAACACACCTCGTGCCGCCTGCTCTAGTCGTCCAGCACCACAAAACAAAACAAAAAATAACATATTGTAAACAGTACTGAAAAGAGTCTCCAAAAGTACAAAGAATGGCAACTGGCATTATGGACTCCGCCGCGCTCACCATCTCAGGAACATTTTTGTAAAGACGTGCAATGTGTCCTCCAAAGTAACCCATAACACCTGCGGTAGAAACCCCAAGTGCCACATCACATATAAGGATAAATCTGGCATACCTTGACGCAAATAAATATCTTTGAACACCCAGGGAGTTTCCAATTATAGTGGTTGCCGAGACACTCAGCTCAAGTGCCATGAAAAACATCACTAATATGATGTTCATTGCCGCACCAAAAAATTATAACGCAAGTGGTGAAATAGAAACTGCAAATAATGCCCGTACTTCAAAAGACCATCACTCCGAACACACCGCGATCAGAGAGGGTATCCCGTCCTTAAAAAACCTTATCCAGACTGCTTTTTCATGAAGTACTGGAGAGGGTCACTGCGCCCCTCTCGGACAAAAACTTTGGGATGAAACAGGCAAATCAGCATATAGGTGGTATATAGGTAGTAGCACACATCATTATTGTCAACTTCTGTGATAACGCGGCCTCCTCAATTCCCATAAAATAATCCCCTAGAGGAAAAGTAATTGCCGCAGCTCCGTTAGCATACACAACAAGGGGAGAAAGACACTGAGCATGCAGTGACTTGCTTATAATTCTAGTAACGATCTGTGCAAGTACAGTGGGCTGGCCCCAAGAAACCTTGCGGCATCTTTGCCAACAGCGTTTCGAAAGGCATAGTCCATAACGGGCTCGCTATTAAGAAAAGCAACGCTCATAATAATCTGCACGCAAAAATTTACGACAAGTTCAAGCCGCAGTGTTTCCACAGTCACTGTAGATCGTAAATTGTGTCCAAAAGCCTGAGAAGTTATCGTATATATGGCGGAGCTCAAGCCACTGACAATGGGCATGGACATGGTCGTAACGTTAAATATGGGAATCCCAGTATTGTACTGAGGCAACCCTTCCTCGCCGAGAAAGGGTTCCACAAGAAATATATACATATATATATATATAACTACCTGTGATGCAATCCACAGAACACTGATGACGTCCGACGGTACAGCAACCTTTAATGTTTGACGAAGCAGTTCATAAATGGGGACCCTACCATCAATAGTTCCTGTTGACGTTTGGACCACGTTTTCGCCCCTTTCCCAGTGAGGTTCCGGGCCCATTTACATCACTCATTAAATCAAACAACTCTCTTTGTCCTTCCCCTATGCCCTCATTTATTTATTTTAGGATCCCATTTCGCGATCATGAACCTAAAACAAGTACAAGGAGTATTTTTTTTTTTTTAAGTTACACGCATAAGAAGATCAAAACAAAAAGGAACATGTATCAAGAGTTAAATAAAAAGATAATCTAGAGCTACAAAGTCAAAGATGCTCTTTATCACAGAAACCTAATACAATACATGCGTACATAGGCAAAATCTAATTTTGCTAAAATATAATATTTCGTGTTTTTCTTTTTTTTTTTCTTTTTGTGTGTGTTTGTTGTTGCTGTTATTTTTGCTGTGAAACGCTGCATCTACATATGTCCAAGTACATAGCCTAGCGGGCAAGGCTAAAGTGCGACGGATCGTGTCACTCATGAAACCAATAGCAGTGACGCCGCCAAGCACGCCTTCACATCACTCACCGTGGATAGCACCTCATCCAATGGCATCGCAACCAATGATTTCTCCACAATCATTGAGGCATTCTGAAGCGTCTGAAGAGTTTCAGGTGACATTTCCACAGTGACGGAGTAGATCTTGTACGGAGCCGTCCCTTCGTTCCCTATTGTGTACTTTTTTGGACTGACCGCACGCACTTGTTGAAGATCAACGCCTAATTGTTGAAATAACTCATCTTTCGGTGCTGTAAGGTTCCCGGTGTCGTTTACCGCCCCGCAGAAGGCCTCCAAAATAAAACTGCAACTGACAGAAGTTTGACGTTGCCTGACAAGTATAGCGTAACAAATATCATTAACGGTGGAAACAGGAAGAATAATAGCAGGACTTGAATCGCAGAGGTCTACCGACTGGACAACTCTTCCACTGCGTGTATCACATTCCACATCCACAGTCAATCCCACAATGCGATGTGCCACCCGTCTAATATCACGGATAACGAAGGTGGAAGGCACAGGACCATGACGTGCGCAGGCTTCCACATACTTACAAAAGGGAGAATAATTCGCCACCGCCCTCACACTGTCTTCGGCGTCATCGCGGTAGGTTTTGTGCGTAGTAAGCAATGCCACCTTTTCGCCAACCTGAATCTCCATGTTCTTGTCCTTGATCTCGTTCTTTTCTTTGAGTGCACAAAAGAGAGGAGGACACAGACAAAGAAAGAAGGAAACGACGCAGAAGAACAATTTTTTTTTTAAAAAAAAACGCCATCAAAAGAAGAAGTATCGTTAATATTCGCGACCTCCCCCCAGTCCTTTGCGTCGGTCCATTACTTTTCCCCAATACGTCTAATCGTATATCTTTTGTTACGCTCCGACTCTAAGATAACACATTACCAGGTGGCCTCAAACGTTCCGGCCACGGTTGCCCTGCAGCCCCAATAAAGCTAGTAGACGTTGAACTGGCATTGAAAGCACAATAGGGCCCAAAAGAGGAACTGACTCTAAAATGCGGGCTATCATCGGGAAAAAATTACCAAAAAGATTCAGCGCTCCAAATCCTTGAAGTAAAAGGCCAATAAAACAAAAGCCTGATATAATGAGCAACATACCCATGAAAAAACACCCAGAAGCTCGCCGTCTGGAGAGAAAAAACGACTGAAAGCGTTTGGGCCCCATCACCAAGGCCACCCCTGCGACAAAGAGGACGTTCCCCATTGTGAGAAGGGCACTATCCAACAACATGATAACGCCCAAGAAAGTAAAGAGCGCTCCTAGACCTGTGAGGGCAACGCCAATCTTTGTGGAGTCATTCCAATTGTATAGAGAATCCATTTGATTTTTCTACGACACCTCCTATTGCTAGAGGCAAACAAAAATAAAAAAAAAACATGAGTCCGGTAAGAGGGGAAAAAAGCGCTGTAACACCAAACAAACACAGTCATACACACAAAACCATCGCGTGTGCGCGTGTGAAATATATATATATATATATACTATTTCTTCAAAAGTATAATTACTGTTCTTTTTATTCTTAGCTTCTTCGTTTATACTTCCCCCACCACCTCATATATATATATATATATATATATATATATATAT